TAAAAATGAAAGCATTCTCTGGCAAAGTGCTCTTTGCAAGGCAGCAGGGAGGAAGAGGAGGGGAAGAATGCACAGTTGATGAAGCCAAGGGACGCTGGCCAGAGGGCCTCGTTGGCAGGCAGAGTGGAGTGTCTTCAGACTCACTACTTCCCCGCACAGAAGCAGGCTTGTAAAGATCACAGCTGCTGGGTTACGCCGGAGTTCATATCACAGCTTATCAAAGAGGCTGGGTTTTCTCCCTCCTCTCCTTTTCTCCTGGGTATAAGTGGGGTGGTTCACAGGCAGACAAGGCCTGGGCTTGTTCTGCCGGCATTAGCATGGAGGGTGGGAAGAGGCTGGAGGAGGGCAATGCACACCAACACCTACTTTGGGCAGAGTTGGTTTAGCAGGGCTGGGAAGGGTGCTGGTGGGTGCTTGGGTCCCGGGGCAGCAGAGCTGACTCTCAGTGCAGAAGGTCCAATAATCTTACTCTCTCATGTGGGTCTGGTTTTCTCTCCCTACAGACCACAAGGGGAGGTAGAGGCCATGGTGTGTCAGAGGCTGGACAACAGCGCCCTTCATCAAACACTGCCAGCACTGGGGCTGGAACCGCACTGATCTTACTTAAGCCCCCTGCAAAATAACAAGGTAGCCACCATTATCATCTCTATTTCTTGGACACAGCAGGAAGGCCTTGGAAATAGGTCACATGGCTACAGAAAGGAGGAACTCTGGAAACCATACACTTTCTTCCTCAGGCTACGAGGGGCTCTTGGGCAGGAGTGGGGGTGCAGCACCAGCCTCCTCACAGTACTCTGCTCCACATGTCCCATCTTCCCCCAGTGGTGGGCATGGCCTCAACTACCTGCATGCAGCCCAGGGAAGGCCTGGGACTGGAGCAGGTTTCCAGGGTCTCAGAGATATGGGCTTTCCCAACTTTAACATGCATCTAAACTGTTGTGACTGCTAAATAAGGAGGCCATGTGGACAGAGGGGTCTAGCTCACTAAGGTCTAGGGGGTTTGGGTGTCCTATCCCTGGCTCCACACTGAGGTATAGCCTGGGAAAGCTGTGTGGGGAGAGGAGATGCTCTCAGTTCCTGAGGGAAATCATACAACTCTCTCAATGCCAAGAACCTCCCCAGATATTGGTCTTCCAAGAGCTGTGGACATTTGTCCTTCTGCAGATGGCAGCTACTCCTGGGCCCTGTGCTAAACACATTACTGCACAAGTAACAGCTTCTAACTTGTTTGCTGGAAAATTACTCTGCTCTTTCTCTGTCCAATCTTGGTGGGTGAGTGGAGCAAACTAACAGCTACAGGAGAGGGTTGAGAAAACATTTACTGCATTCTTTATCAGGCCTGTGGCTTCACTGAAGCAGTTGGTATGTACCATCAGTATACCCCCTTTTAAAGCCATCAGCAGTAAAGGACATGAAACGGAGAAGCAAGACAGCAGGCTGAYACCTCCAGAGCTCTACCTGCTTCAACCTCACCGAAAGGCCTAGCCCCTGCAGGACCACAAAAAGAGGAGACAGGGGGCTCATGTCTGTGAGCCTTCCTCTGCCTCCAATGCTGGACTGGGAGTCCACACTGGGTGCCCAAGACAGAATCCAGGAGCTGGTCATCAGTGGTAGGCATGCCGGCTTAGCAGGTAGCAGTCCCCGGGCCAGCCTGGCCCTCTAAGGAATGTGAGGCAGGTGGCTGTCAGCAGTAACACACACTGACTGCTGGGGGCTGCTTTTGGGGGATGGCAAACTAGACAGCTGGGGTAAAGGCCTAGGAGAGACCCAGTCCTTTGTGAGGGCTCAGCTGCAAGGTTCCACCTGTCTTGGCCCACTGGATTCTTTGTGCTAAAGTGCCAGGGCTAAGAGACCCTCTGTGCTTGTGCTAGAGTGYCAGTGAGGCCTGGACTGGAGATCAGTCTTGATGCCTTCTGAACATAGTCCCTGAGGGGTCTGAGCYATGAACAGTCAGTGACGGCCATGCTGGATATACTGAGCCCCTTGAAGMACAAGGAGGAAGGGCCCATTGGCCTTGGTCCCAGGGAGTCCTGGCATGCAGCTGTTCAGGGCCCCCTGAGGCACCAGACTCTGCCATCTCCCACAGAGGGACAAAGTGGTGGTTGCTGAATTATTAGCAGAGTGCAGGAGTTTGCAGCCCAGCTCCAAGCGAGCCCAGTCGACACACTGGCTTCTCTCCTTTTCCCTTTTGCAAACAGGATTCCCATCAGCCCCAAAACCTTGCTGCCTTGGAATCTGCAAATGGGAACATGGCAGTGGCCTGGCCATCGAATTCATGGAGCCTGGGGCCCCAAGAGGGTGAGGAGGATGCCCAATAATGTTCATTTTACCTGCAGCTCTGCTCTTGTGGTTTTGGGGTGCTGGTTACCACCCTGAGCTCCCCATTCACACACTTTTGATGGTATGTGAGGCCAGGATGGGATGGGAAAAACCCAGACCAGCCCTGTCCCCAAAGAGGAAGCTGGCTGCACCTGCCTTTTTCAAAGGTCTCTCTCCCTTACTTGGTTCCCTGAAAGTGCCAGACAGGGACCGTTCATCCAGAGTGCTGACACTCTGCAGTGTGGAAAACCACAGAAAATTAACTGTCACTTATGTGGGAACAGACAGCCGTTTTTTGGTGGGGTCTTTCATATCACATCTAAAGTCTACTTCAATCCCCGCCCAAATGTGGGGATAGAATAACTGTGACTTCTTCTTTTGGCCAACAAGATTAAGAATACATTTCTGTCTCTCTGTAACAATGGTTCTTGATCAGGGTGATTTTATTGCCCAAGGGATATGTTTGGAGACTAGTTTTTGAGGGGGCAGTGCTGTGGATTGAACCCAGGGCCTTGAGCATGCTAGGCAAGTACTCTACCATTGGGCTCTACCCCCACCTTTTGGACATTTTTATTCATCCCAACTGGGTGGGGGCAGGTGCTACCAGCTTCCAGCGGGTAGAGGTTAGGGATGCTGCTAAATGTCATASAGTACACAGGACGGCCCCTACCACAAAGAACTACCTGGCTCCAAATGCCCACAGTGCTGAGGTTGAGAATCCCTGCTTTAGAAGAGCTCAAAGAACAAAGGGCAACGACAGAGACATCCTTTGTGTGGGGTGGAGACCATCAGAAGCCCCTTCCTCCTGCTGTGGTCCTACCATTCTTCTTTTAGTCCCCTTCAGGRATCATTTCTTTGGCTCCATCCCCAGGGTGCCCTCAGCTCCACACGAGGTCCCTGACTAGCCTGAGTTTCTCCTCCTCCCAGCAGGCAAACTTCTCCATCAGGTTTCTCCTGGCCCCTCCATTTCTTGTCTTCCACTCCTTCAGCTCATCCATAGCCGAGGAGGCTCCTGGGCCAGCTCCCGGAAGATGCTCTTTGGGCCTCATCTTCCCTTCCTGCCTCATCAGCCCCCTCTTTCCCCTGCTTCCTGCTGCCCTTCTGGCCCTTCCTCTCAGCTTCTGGTTCTGGTTTCTCCTCTTTTCCCCACCATTACATACCGAAGCTTCTTAGGGCTCAGTCTCAAACTCCTTCCCTTCTCACTTGGCCTCCTCTTACTCCTGCAAGTAAAAGCTCCACAAAGCCAGAACCATCTAGAACAGTAYTTTGCACAGGGTTGGTATATCAGGAATATCTGCTGACTATGTCATCAATTTCCAGTTTGACCTTGGGTCTAGGTCTCCCTTTGGAGAACCAGGTGCTCTAAATTGCTTCTTCAATATCTTTCTTTTGATGTTCCCAAAGCAATTCAAACTCAAACATGTCATGACCCTCCTTGCTCACTGGGACTCTCCTGAGGCTCCCACCTCAGACACTGGCAGCGCCATCCAGCGGTTCACACCAGGGACCTGCATGTTAGTCCTGACACTTTGCCCTTGCTCCCTCCTGCAATCAGTCCCCAGTCAATCACACATGCTCCTAACTGCATCGCCTACTGCTTTCTATTGCCTGACAAGTTGTCACAGTCTCATTTGGACAATAGCTTCCCAAGTGGTTTCCATCCATCTTGGTCCCTCCAGACCTTTCTCCCCAGCAACAAGGCAATCTTTCAAGTCAGAGAGCTGGTCACATCTCTCCTCTGTCCTTTCTCTGGCTTCCCACTGATGTCTGGGTGACATCCCTAATCCTTGGTATGGCCTACAAGGCTAGGTCCCCATCCCATTTGGCTTACAGCAAAATGAGCTCCCTTGTGCACTTCCTGTGCAGGCTGGGCTTCTGTTAGCCCTGCTCCCCAAGTGTCCTGGACCATTTTACATTTTAATAACTCCACCATACCAGGGTTCTGGGTGGCGGTCAGGAGGAAAGCCCAGGCACCTTCTTTTTAAAGATTCTTCAGTGTTCTGACATGCAGGGCTGAGAACCACTGCTACAGAGCATCCAGGGCCATTTGGACTGTTCTCTACCTGGTTTGATTGGAGAGCCTGGAGGAATTTGTGCCCCTAATTTAGCTTTCAATAGCCTGAAGTTCACTGGGTCACTTCTTGTGACCCTGCTCTTTGAAGCTGAATGTGAGACRAAGGGAATCCCAGTCATGCAGCCAGTGATGACAGTTCTTGGCTAGTGACAACAGTTCTCAAGGTCTGAGCCCCTGGGGCTGGAACCCTGACTGTCCTGGGCTAGGATCAGATGACTCAAGAACCTGGCTCCACCAATCTGGCCAAATCCCATATTGGTGGCTGGGCTGCCAGCACAGCCGTGTGTCATGCTCCATCTGGCTCACCTATTTTCCTTTCCAAAGACTGACAACGGCATTGAGGGAGAAGATATTCAACTTAAAGAAAAAACAGCATCTTGACAAGCAAAAACTTAATTTGTTTTCTTTTTTTWAAAAGAAATGTCAGTGATGACCTGCCTGATTGTCAGTGGTACCAGCAACACAGCATGAAGGGAAACCTTTGTTTCTTTTAAGAACACACATAAAGGTCAGAAAAGGAAGGAGTGAGAGGGAAGGGGTGGCTGCTTTGACATCTCAAAATGCAAAGCCATGGCCCTGTGGGGAGGAGAAGGCAGGCAGGGCTGACCTGATGATGAAAGGGCCTCTGACCTCCAGGAGCTTCCGTTCACTGCTGAACCTCTGGAGAAGGTTGATCATGAACTTATAAAAGTAGGAGTTCATGGTGGGAGTGGAAGGAGAACATTCTAAGCCTTTGGTACCTGTAGAGAAAGGGACAGAGCCAGGGTTTATTCTGATAATGTGTTCACAGGGTGATGAGTCTCATACCGAATACAAACAATGGCAAATGCCCCAAAGGGGGTGGATGGGGGGCTGTCTGTGGGTAACAGAATGAGAGAAAATCGCCAAAGGGCCACAGATTGTCAGAAAAAGGAAAGGACCAAAGGAATTTGAATAAGACATGTCTTTGCTTCCTRCAAAATGTACCCATTTACTCTCCACTCCTCTATCCAATCTCAAACCATGTAGTGAACTTTAAAACTTTTTTTTCTTAGTTGTAGATGGACACAATGCCTTTGTTTTATTTATTTATTTTTATGTGGTGCTGAGAATTGAACCCAGTGCCTCACACCTGCTAGGCAAGGGCTGTACTGCTGAGCTACAACCCCAGGCCCTGTAGTCAACTTCCTAATGTGTAAGGCCCTACCAGGTACTGTGACTTTTTAAAAAGCAAATATCTACTCATCATCCTAATAAGTTAGATAAACTTAGGGTTTACTATGCTCAGTCAAGGACAATGACAAGAGAATGGAGGAGTAAGGCAGGTACATAATCTTAGTGGTCAACAAACCTAGCAAAACTAAGAGGCAGGGGGTATGGGGGCAGGAAAGATGGTGGAATGTGATGGACATTATTACCCTAGGTACATGTGTGACTGCACATATGGTGCGAGGCTACATACATCGTGTACAGAGAAATGAAAAGTTGTGCTGCAACTGTGTATAAGGAATCAAAATGCATCCTGCTGTCATATATCCTAATTTAAAATAAAAACAAAGAGGCAAAACCCAAACTCCCTTCCCAGTGATACTTGAGAAAAAATAAGTGGTGTACATGCCAGGAGATTAAAGACAGCCAACAGTGCAAAGTATTTTAATCTGCACTATTAATTCCAGGACATTTTTAATCACTCCCCAAAGAAACCTTGTACCCAGTAGCAGTCTCCGGTTCTCTCCTCCTCCAGGTCCTGGAAAGCACTACTTTCTCTCTATAAACTTGCCTCTTCTGGACATTTTGCCCATTTAAATGGAACCCTACAGTATGTGGCTTCTTTCATGCAGCATATTTTCAAGGTTCACCTTTATTGTAGCATGTTCTTCGTCCATTTTTATGGCCAAATGATAGTACATTGTATGGACACACTATATTGTTGGCCCACTCATAAGTTGGTGGACGTTGGATTCTTTCTACTTTTTGGCTCTTATGATGCTGCTATGAACATTCATTTTCAAGCTTTTGCTTGAGCATATTTTCATTTCTTGGGTATATATCTAGCAATGGAACTGCTGGGTCACACAGTCGCTCTGTTTAACTTCCTGAGGGCTGTCCTATTTTATACCCCCACCAGCCAYGCAGGAGGTGTGTCATTTCTCCTTCCCAACAGCCATCTTGGTGTTGGGAAGTGGGATCTCATTGTGGTTTTGATTTGCATTCATCTAGTAATAATGTTTGTGTGTTTATTGTCCATGTGACTATTTTTTTAATATTTATTTTTTAGTTTTTGGCGGACACAACATCTTTGTATGTGGTGCTGAGGATCGAACCCGGGCCGCACACGTGCCAGGCGAGCGCACTACCGCTTGAGCCACATCCCCAGCCCCATGTGACTATCTTGTCTGAAGAAATGTCTACTCAATTCCTTTGCTCATTTTTAAGTTGGGTTATTTGTCTTTTTATTGTTGAGTTTCAAGAGTTCTTCATACACTGGATACAAGTTGAGCCACTTATCAATTATGATTTATAAACATTTTCTCCTATTTTGGGGACAGTCTTTCAATTTTCTTGATAGTGTCCTTTGGAAGTACATGAAATTAAAAACAATTTTTTTTTTTGGTGGCACGAGGAACTGAACCCAAGGCCTTATGTATATTAGGCAAGTGCTCTACTACTGAGCCACATTCCCACAAAATTTTAAATTTTGGTTAAGTCCAGTGTTATTTTTTTAAAAAATATTTTTTAGTTGTCAGTGGACCTTTATTTTATGTATTCATATGTGGTGCTGAGAATCACCCAGTGCCTCACACATGCTAGGCAAGTGCTCTACCACTAAGCCACCACCCCAGGCCCCCAGTGTGTCTTTTTTTCTTTGGTTGCTCATGCTTTGTTGCCCAAGGCATGTGGAGCCATCGCTCTCTCAGGCGGCCTCCCTGGTCCAGGAGCCCTGTGGGAATCACAAGGCTCTCCCTGCACCAGGGAAGGGGTGACCATGCCTTGGCACAGGTTGTCACATGTGGGGTCTCTGTAGAACAGCTCCCAGAAGCACTGACCCAAGATACAATAGAGCCATGTGCAGAACCATCCAGAGCATTACAGGTGAGTCACACAGAGGTGCCTCTCTCTATGGCTGACTGTTAGGTACAGTGGCCAGAGAGTGGCAGTAAAAACACTCCTCCCAGGAGTTGTGTCTTGCTGTTGAGCTCACACTTGCCTTACAGGGAAGCAGCTGGGAACTAGAAAAGACCTTTTTCTGTTCAGTGTTTCCCAGCTGTGGATTACTCTATGAGGATTTTTCACGAGGGGCCACACCTCCAAATCTGACCGTCCCTCCCAGACAATCCCCTGAGCTGTGCCACAGGCCCGCTCTGAGTGGGGAGCCCAGCTCAAGGGCAGGTTTTGTATAACTTCCTGCTGTTTGGACTGCTTTGTTCTGGGTCCTTGCTTCGGGCAGCCTGGCTGGGAAGGTCCTGAGTGATTCTGGAATGGGAAACAGTCTCCGCTCCCTGGCCCAGAGGGGCTGTTTGCAGAATCATGTGTCACATTCTTATAGATCGAGTTACCCTAGGCCCAGCTGGGGCTGATCCCTGAAGAGGTGGTTGTGGGCCCAGCTGTTGAGGCAGCCCCATACCATTCTCCGCACAGGAGATGAATTTGAAGGACCATGATGGCTGCTGGAGAGCACACTATATGCCCCATGTGTTGCAGCAGGTACCTGGGGACTGAAACCCAGGTAACAGCAGGCTTCACTCAGGTGCACACCTGTGTGCGCCTCTTGTGTCCCTGTCCCCTTCCTGGTTTTCTATGTGTACCCCCTGGCCCATCCCATTTCTATGGCCACTTAAGGCTCCCAAGAATTTTAAAGGACAAAGGGACCAATGTAGGGAGTAAAGAACTGGGATGGGGGCACCTGGGGCCAGAATCTATTCCTAAGGAGCTGGGTGCCAGGGGCAGGCCCTAGGGAGAGGTGCCTGCCTGTTGCAGCCTCACAGGGGCAGCAGGAAGAATCAGGAATGACCTTGGTCTCCTTATTTATAAGTGCTGGCAATTAAGAGCCCCTATTCAATGAGACAAAATGCACTGCACTGGGCCTGGGGCCTTCCAAATAAATGGTGGTTGCTTTTACTAGCAAATATCTCCTCTCTTAGAGTACTCCACGGGGCAGACTGCTTTCATTCCCTGATCCCCACCATGGAGGACTGGAGGTGGGGGGGATAGTCTGGAAATGTCTGAGTGGGGAAACTTCAGATTTGGAACAAATTCATGGTGCTCTGTTGTGATGTTGCAAGGAGTAAGACAGGGAGTCACCTGTGACCTCCCAACTCTACACCCAGGGAAGGAGATCAGTAAACCCCTTTCCCCACCGCTGACAGATTGGCTACAGTTGCCAGGAAAGAAGGCCTGGGCTGCTGTGGACACATCTTTGCTCTCCTTACCACAGCTCCCACTCTGGGCCAAAAATGTACTTCCAATATCTAGACTCACGGTGGCCCTTAGCTGGAGGAGGAGCAGTGCAGCCACATGGAGGAAGGCCCACCAAGCCCTTCATGCTTTCCCAGAGCAGCAGCCACTGGGGAAGCATGTGAGACTCAGCCCTTGTGGTGCTCCCACTGTCAAGACTAAGGATAGCAAGCAGCTGAGCTGACCAGGGCCATGAGTGAGCCTCAGCTGACAGGCCAGGGTGTGGTGGGAGCTGTAGGGGTGATGCCCAGGGCGTAGTCTGCATGGCCTTTTGCAATCTAGGATTCCACCTGCTGGAAAGACCACTGCCTGGAGAGAAGGAGTGGCCCAAGACAAGGCTGGGGGTCCTTCTGCAGWGGGAAGAGGTGGGGTCTGTATGGCTGGATAAGGAAGGAAGTGATTTCAGTGCTCATCAGGGTCAGGGTGAGGGCCTGGGAGATTGCTCCCAACCCCAGTTCCCCTTTGCCCAGCCATCCCTCTGGCCTCAGCGGTCTTCAGGCCTGGCTGACTTTAGATGGAACCTGAGAAAGAGTTCTCAGCCAGGGCTGCAGGCTGGGGAGGAGGGGCTGAGGTGGAGAGAGCTCGAACTCATCCAGGACTGTTAGTCCAGGAACGCTAGGCCTCTCRACTATGCTGATTTCCGCCTCACTGCAGCCTGCTCCTCCTGGGGGAGCTCAAGCGCCTTTACTGGCCCCTCCCGCCCACCTCTGGCTCTTGCTCATCCAGACACATGGCTCACAGTGCTCCTTCGGGGCTAGGTGCTGCACGTGCTTGAGGAAAGGGAGAGCTCAGGATCAGGGACAGCGGCTCAGGTTCCCAATTCAGAGCGTGCCTTTGATTGCCGAGTCCAAGAATCTAAGAGGCTGTGCTTAGGTGGCATAAGTGACAGCACAGTCTTGTAGGCACATGGGAGAGTGAGTGAGTTGCTCTGGTGGGACCAGCAGGCAGAGGAGGAGAGGGGCCAAGGAGAGTGGGTTTCCATTCCCTGATCCTGTGGAGGATGGGGTTGTGAAGAAGTGCACAGCCCCTCAGCTGAACAGATCTGCCTTCAATTTCTGGTGCGGGCAAGCAAGGAGCCTGCTGGGCTCTGGCAGGAAGTTCACGTGACCGGCTGGCTGCCCAGGGGCACACAGATGCTGTTGGGAGCCCTCAGTATACACAACCAGGCTGGTGGGGTGGTGGCTGGGGAGCCAGCCCTACAGATGCTGCTAAGTGAAACCTGATGTGGCGACATGAGAATCTGCAGAACGTCTCACAAACAACCTTCCCTGGGATGTTTTGGATCGAGTTTTGTGGCTATGACGTG